CAACATGCAACTGCATACTTTTTTTTAAACCAATGTGTTTCTTTATACCAATTGATTCGTCTCATTATTTATGCATAAAGTATTAAGGTAAGATTCCCAAAAATTGAATGTTTTACAAGATATTTTGTATTTTATGTCAAAATACTGTAATTTACAAGCCCCATAACTCGAAAAGTACTTAATGAAAAATAACCTCATTATAGTGTTTTGAAAAGCTCTTGACACCAGCTATTAGATTTTGGAATCAAAAATAGGGGTTTCCATTTAAAAAAATTACTCTGACCTTCAAATAACCTTGAAAATTGACTTCAAAGTCAAAGTCACTAGCACAAATAAGTGACCCCCATGTATAAGATGCAGCTAGTGTAACCTCAAAGTAATTCAGTTTAATTATATAAAGAATAATTAACTTACCTCTAATATTTGTTCTTCTTATTTGCAATTATACTTATGCCTTGCACTTAATGCTTTCTAATAAGGCCTAAATGAGATCAACAAAACACATACTTGCAGCACATTTGCAGTAACCGGCAACAACGTGATTATTTGATAATCTGATCATGCAGGCGGAATTGTGAAATCCTTTTCCACGCGGCGCGCATGTACAGTACAACAGCGCTAGCCATTGCCTGATGTATTTAGGAATACTGCGGTACCACAATTACTGAAAAATAATAAGTTAACAATCATATACGTGGATGTATATTTTTCCAAATCTGATAAATAAGTTTATTTCTCAAAATATAATGATTGTTACGTCACTTAAAATAGCGAATATAATAAAAATAATTATGTTTTTCGAAATCGCGTGAGTTTTAGATACACTCTCTTTTATGTAAATCGAAATGTGTATTCAAGCATATAAAAGGAAGCAAATCCTTGCAGGAGCAAGTCTCGCGTGCATTTGCGATCTGACAATATCTAGTTAATCAACATCGTTACATCGTACTAAACGTATAATTGAGCATAACAGCCAATTCAACAATTAAATTTGAGTATCAATTCTCTGTAAAATAAGTTGTTCGATTTAATTTGCTTTCCCGCGACAATCAGATAATTTTTTTCAACTTTTTTTGTAACGAAACAAATCGTAGTGATACGATTATATGCTAAGCATGAAATTTTCGTAACAAGTCCTCAAATCACAAATTGTACATTCACATTTTTATGTCGGTATTTAGTTCTAGATTAGTAGATGCTAATAGTCTTCTAGCATCCTATAAATAGATATTAGTTCAAGACATTCGTGCCTAGTAATCACTGATCTAACAATCAGTAATTATTAGTTCTAACTATTAGTTTGACAATTATTAATCTAATTATTAGTTCGACTCAGCTATTATTTTTTTAAATCAACATCTAGTAGCTGGCTTCTTTCATAAATAGAAAAGAATCTGTAAGAATTTATTCTGATAATTCACTTATCTCAGTTATTCATTCAAGATTATCCAATTTGTTTTCATTTATTTTTCAACCTTCTATCAAAAATTATAATTATTAAATATTATTTCTCATAAAAATATATATTGTTACGTTTCCGAAACGCGTCGCGCAGTTCGCACAAATAAATCAACACTTTTTATGAAAGAGAACACTTTAATAATAAACACAGAACTCAAAAATTAGTAACCGGGAATACAATACAATACTAAGATCGGAGCTATCATAAACGTCCGCCCGAGCAGACAGCTATCCAAGATCTGACATATGACAGTTTGTTTATAACTGTCATAATTATCGATCGGTCCGTCAGCTGTAACACACACAGCATCAGCGGCAAAATAGTACGGGCGCAACAATATAAAACATGTTAAATGTGGTTTTTGTTTTATACTTAGCGTTTTAATTATACTATACTATTAAATATTCATTTGGATTCAGCTACTTTTTTTAAATGAAGGGATATTTTAAACATTTATTACGTTAGTTTTTTCAAACCTTTTAGTCATTTGAGTAATTTCATGGATCTAATTTTCCTTCGACACATTTCAACTCGAGTGAATTTTTGATCGGAAACTTTCTTGTGCGCGCAATCATGTGAAACGCGCACGGGAAATGCGGGAATTCCAAACCATCTTGCATTCGTGTCATACATTTGTTGCATATTCATTAAATGTAGCTAAACGCGCATTTCCATTTTCAGTCGTGCGCGCGTAAGCAAGAGATTTTTTCGGCATTCTATTTGACCAAATTTCGCACGATCTTTCTTCTCTCGACCTCTCAGTCGCGCTCAAAAAACCTGTACAAAATAATAATAATAATAATTATTATTATTATAAAAAATTTAGAAACCAATGGATATTCTTTTCGCTACAGATTCTTTGGCTGATTCTACCTAAAATTGAAAATAAAATAACAATTAATGATGCGTTTTTAGCAAATAATGAGCTTCAGAAAAAAAATAGATGACAAAATTACATTTTTCAAATAATTTAGAGGAAATTTCAATATAATGTAAATTTGGAGCTTATTTGCAAAAATATATAATGTTAAAAATTAAAAGAATTATAACTTATAAAGAAAAATCTTCATAATTTCCCGCGGCAATTTTGCTAAAAAGAAGAATGCAAAGAACAATAAAAAAAAATAGATACTTTTTGTACTTGAAATAATCGCCTTTGCTTCATGGTAGACACAACGGAGGGAAAAAAAGAAAATTGACGATTGTGGAAAAGCGACAACAGGAAAAAGTGTAGGAACGGAGAGATGCAATTGAAAGGAGCAAATCCCTCTAGAGTGTGGGAAACGTATCTAAAACGAACGGACCTACGGCTCGCCGCGTTGACACGCGGACTGCTGAACGACAATGGGCTTTTAGTGAACGATTCGTCCTGCTCGCATGCGGAAGCTTCGTGCCGCATAACTACCGATCCCGATAACAATACAATTGACGTTGTTGGTGTAATCGTAGTCAGGAGGGCCGATCCCGGCGTATCAACAAGCATAACCGCCGCTGTGGCTTGACAGAATCGTAAGATGGCCGATATGATGGAATCGCCGCCGTTGTTCGACAGCAACGAGACAAAATTGGACGATCTGGAGGATGACGACGAGGATATCTTCGCGTCCGCGGTGCAGGTATCACCAGATGTGACCGACACATTACAAAGAGACTGTAATCCTCGGCGAGTTCGTGCCTCGTGCGCTGTGAAATTTATTTATTCGTGACGACGATGACAGGCGCAAAGTATGTTTTTCCGCATTTACACAGCGCCGAAAATCGAGCTCGTCGAAAATTACACTTTCTATTCAGTAGATCGAAATGTACTTTTTCTATACGTGACACGTCACTTTGCTAACATAGCTTTGTTTGATGTTGGCACGCGATAAAAATTGTGCAGATAAATTTGTGAACTCCACAACATATTGGTAACATTTTCAGGAACAAAGCCAATTGGAAGATGCTTCGCCTTATAACGGAGTGTCCAAGATTCAGGCAGAATTGCCGAAATTGTCTTTACGAGATGCACCAGAGGAAAACTCATTCTCTTCCGTGTCCAGTCCAGTTCCAGGTCCCTTGAGTCCTCCTTTAGGGCCGATGAATACAGATATCGGTGATCTACATGATGTTCCTATCAATGATAATTCAGATACATTGTCTACAAACATTATTCACTCTCGGTCATTAGAAGAGGTGTGTATTGTATTATTGTGGTATATAGTATAACTGAAATAAATTAATTAATGCATTGTAAAAAATATACATTAGGGATATGTATTAAAATATATTATTTTAATATATAACAAAATTACAATTTAAAGACTATGCTGTTAATCTGTTTGTAGGTTCCAGCAGACACGTCTGAGATTTTTTTGAAGATCACAGTCACTTCTCCTCAAAAGATAGGTGATGGAATGGGTGCTTATGTCGCATACAAAGTTGAAACAAGAACAAATATGCTTATCTTTAAGAAGAGACACTTTAGTGTGATGAGGCGTTTCAGTGATTTTCTAGGTCTTCATGATAAGTTGACAGAGAAATATCTTAGAAATGGCAGAATAATCCCGCCAGCTCCGGAAAAAAATGTTATCGGTAGGAAATAATGATCTAATTTGGAAGTTTGCTCACAGTTAGAAAAAAGTTATAAAGAATTGTGTAAATTTTATATGTTAATAGGAACGACGAAAGTTAAGATGTCTGGGGACAAGAGTCAAGAGCAAAATTCGAGTTCCAATTCTGAATTTATTGAACGACGCAGAGCAGCTCTCGAGAGATATTTGAACAGAACAGCCGCGCATCCGGTTCTAAGTATCGATCCCGATTTTAGAGAATTTTTGGAAGCTGGTAAATGATAACAATTTTTAATTTACTCTTTAGTTAAATTTAAATCAGACAAAAATCCAAATATAAAATAAATTTTATATAATTAATATTCGATTTTCTTGTAGATGTGGAATTGCCTAAGGCCACCAATACATCTGCATTAAGTGGTAAAGGAGTGATGCGACTCTTTAACAAAGTCGGGGAAACAGTTAATAAGATAACTTACAAAATGGATGAAAGCGATATGGTAAGATTTGTTCAATATAAACACATTTCTTGTATGTATTTCCTATGAAGTATTGTGACCTTTTTTTGCTTGAAATTAAAGAAAGTAAGGTAAGTTTATTTGAAATCATGCATCGACTCGCAAATTACTCGATCCATGTTGCTAGTTAAATTATTATATTATTATAAGTCGTTATTATAAGCATAATAATGGCATATGCCGTCAAATATTTATAAAAGAACTAAAATAACTTGTCAGTATTTGTAATACCTACCTACCTGTATTTTTTTGCAGTGGTTTGAAGAGAAAACATCGCAAATAGATTCCCTTGATATTCAGTTACGTGCATTGCATTCCGCAGTCGATTCCTTAACGAATCAAAGAAGGGAATTGGCAAACTGTACTGGAGCTACAGCGAAATCAGTCGCTGTTCTTGGCCATGGTGAACCGGGAGCGTCTCTCGGCAGAGCGTTGGCGCAATTGGCCGAAACTCTAGAAAAAGTGGAGACTATCAGGAAAACGCAGAGCAACAGCGATCTCTATCAATTTGCAGAAATGTTGAGGGATTATGTTGCTCTCATTGGGGCAATTAAGGTTGATATTTAATTTATGATTGTATTTATATTTGCAGCAGAACTTAAATTACATTTTGTACAAGATGCTATTTTGTAGGATGTTTTCCACGAAAGAGTCAAAGTTTTTCAAAATTGGCAACACGCTCAGACGATGTTAAACAAGAAACGCGAGCAAAAGGCGCGACTCGAGCAATCCGGCCGAACGGACAAGACGAGTCAAGCAGCTACCGAGGTCATAGAATGGGAAGCAAAAGTTGACAGAGGTCAAGAGGAGTTCGACAATATTTCGAAGATGATAAAAGAAGAGATCGAGCGTTTCGAATTAGTAAGAGTGCAAGATTTTAAGAAGCAGTTAATTGAATATCTGGAGTCGATGCTGCAACACCAGAATCAACTTATCAAGTATTGGGAGAGCTTCCTGCCGGAGGCACGAGCAGTAGCGTAAACATTCCTCGCGTTAAAAAATCGCGATACAATAGATTTTTAATATGATAATAAGGCCAATACCCCTACCGTGTAAGAAGTGAAAAGTAACTTCTGTGACGTGAATTCATCGTTCATCAATGTTGATGATTGCGGCGCATTTTTATGGAGAAAACTCGCGACTGTTGCCGACCGTTTACACCTGCAAAAAAAGAAACAAAGAATTAAAAAAGAAGAACGCATACACTTCTCATCTGGAGGGTACTGCCAACTCGCCCGAAACATTCTATGCGCAGTGAAAAGCGTGAAGAATATATTCTAATTAGACGAACTTAATTAAGAGTCTCAGATTTTTATTACACTTCAATTATTATTCAATATATATAGTATATTAATTCTTTATGATTACCTTATCCATATTATATACATTATACGTAACTATACATATGAAATTATACAATTTGTTAAAGAATGTTACTGAATAATAAAATCAATTGCAGTTATATAAGTTTCTTTTTTTTTCATTCTTATACAGCTTTTCATTTGTGACATGGCGTATTGTCCTACTGAAATTTTCTATTCCGCAACTCAGAATCACCAAAAATCTTACGATATGACGGCTGTAGCCCATCTTTTAGAACGTTAATGTATCACGCGCTGTTCATTCGATCCTCGCAAATGAACATTTCATCCACACTACTGGGGTACCCATGCAGCCCTAGATCATTATGCTGCCTCCTCCGTGTTTCACGTATGCACCACATACTCTGGGTGGTATTCTTCACCAACTCTTCGTCATACATATGTTACACCAGGAGTGCCAAAGATCTGAAAAACACATTGATATTCATTATTTAAAAAAAAGTTTATGTCTAATTATAAGTACCTAAATCAATTGACGCTAGTAATAGTGGTTTGTTTGTTTTTGTTTTTGTTTTTTTTTTCTTTTTTCTTTTTTAAGTAAAATAAACGTTAAATTATACGAATCTCAAAGTTAAATTTATCAGACCAAACTATATTTGCCCAATCCTCCTGATGTGAGTTTCTGATGTGAATTCCTAAATGAATTTTGTTGATGAACCCATTTTAAGCAAGACTTGGTTTTTCCCGAGAGTCAAGGTTTTTTCCTGGTCTTGTATCCTTTGAGATCACCTCCTACAGGTCTCTTTCTCATGATTCGGATTCCAGTGTCTTCTGTAAAGGAAGCAGCTAGCTCAGTTTTTTTTCGGTCTTTTAAAGCTTCACGAATTAACTTTTGATCTTCGCGTTTCGTGGTTACTCTTTTTCTGCCTGAGCGCTTTTTATCCAAATGCGAACTAGTCTCTTTAAAATGTTTGACAGTCGTTTGGTACAACGTAAGCAGTTTTCGCAATTTCCTTCTGGTTCTTCTCTTTAAAAATATGATTAACTTATGTTGATGCTCAGAAAGTTTACTTTTTTGGCATTTTTCAGAAGTTAACACTTCACTTTACAAATAAAGACACGAAAAATCAACACTAGTGTAGTTGCGGCAGTAGCAACGACTTATAGCAGGCTAGCAGTATAACTAAAAAAATTTTAATTTTACAATTAGACTAAAGTAGATGTTTTATTATCTATTAGGTAAGTCGTCTATTGTTAAAAATATTCTTTAAACATTCCAGTAAAATAAAAATTAACAATTGAATCATTTCCAAGAAATAAAGAATACGAATGAGAAAAATTAGATTGCTTAATAAGAATAGTCTTGACTAAGGTCAAGATTTAATTGTCCTGTAGATTACACAAAACCAGTATACACAACAAGTATGTAAATTAATGAAACAATAGCCCAAGTTATTTTTATTCTAGATCGTAAATATTTATAAACTAGTATATACCTTGAACTGTGGGCGTTATTTAATCGACTGGCACACTTAAGTTCACACACAGAATTGTTCAATCATATAAAAACATTAAATAATGGCCAATGGCTATTGACCATCTATTAAGATTGCAACCTTTTGGGCCGTAAATCCTTGTAATAATTGTAATAATTGTCAGGTACCTTGTAATAA